CCGTGCGATATTTTTGGTGCTTTTTCGTATCGTTCGACGGGGACTGGGGACTCTGAGCGGGTACGCGGGTAGCAGGATATTTTCGATTCCGATACAGGGCTCATCAACTCCGGAAACTCTCATGGGACCGAATTCACCGTGGAACATTCTCTCCGGAAGAAATATGAAACTTCCAGCCGGCGGCCGGCGCGACAGGAGGAATTTCGACAATGGGCCGAAGGGAGGGTGTCTGGTGTCTGCTCCAGTCTGCAGGAAGAATCATGGGACGGACTCGCCTAGACTCGCCAAACTCGCGTAGGAAGATGGAAGACGCTAGGAAGGAAAGGAGACGCTTGAGACTTACAGCGAAAGGTGGTCGATTGACAGGAATTTCGACGAGGATAGGACATGGGCGTTGGGATGAAGCCACAAAAACTGAATTAGAAAGTGGCTTCCAGGGAAGCGACAACTGCTTCGCTTAAAGCCCTCGACGGACCAAATTAAAAAAAGGAAGAGAAACAGAACGAAGGAGCCCGGGAGCTACAAAAGCGCTCGGCTTAGAAATAGAGGAGGAATAGACGAGGAAGAGAAAAGCCGCCAATTGCAGAAGGAACAAGTTGACGCCATTCCCGAAGGGAATCCCACAAGGATAGCGCTACTGGGAATCGTTGTCTGGCGTGAACGCCAGACGGAACGACCTGCGTCTCAAAGAGCGGAGCCGCCCGTTCAAACGATCCAGTCGGAAACTCGCGAAAACGGAATTCTCCGTGTCCCGGAAGATTCTCGGAATGGTTCGAGCTAGAATGAGCCCTACTTCGAGGAATCAGGGGTCACATCCTAGGCCAAGTCCCCGAATTCGCCTACATCGTAAAGGATCGCTTCTGGATCTCCATGGGGAAGGACGAGCAATCCAGACCTGTCGAGGTCAGGTGGAGCGAGCTTGCCAACGAAGAATAGGGGACTCTGCAAGAGAAGGACTACGCGTCGGTTGTAACGAACACACAGAATCAAAGAGTGGAGTGCTACCGCTCGTTGCCTCTCTTTTGAAACTGCAAAGGCGGGCGGGCCCGCTTCGTGCGCATGCTATCCGTCCCCCTCGCCTGTGCGTCCATGCGATCGCCCGCCTGATGGTTCCATACACAGCAAACGCTCAACGCTGCTTTACAATACCACCAGACGTGGCAGCGAGCAGAGCACGAGGAGCAATAAGTCTTTAGGAGCTGCTGGCTCTTTTTCCTCTTCTGTTGTCCTTGTCCTCTTGCTCCATTCTTCTCCCGGTCTCTCGTTCATTCTCGTTGCTTTCTTTTCCGGCCTCGTCGTGAGGATGTCGAAGCCACTGGCAAACGAAGCGTCCGGTGGTCCCGAGGGAAGAATCGAGCTAGAATGAAAGGGAGCCCGGAGACGATAGCTGTCGACCAGCGTCCGCCAGCTAAGCGTCCCCCCTCTCCCTCGCGTCAGACCCCAGCAACCCTATCGAACCCCTCGAAACCGCCGGTTTTATAAGTCGACTGAGCCAGTGCTTCCATCCTCTACTCGCGAGCCTTTGTTCACGGAGGGGCCGTGAATTCCACCCACCGCTTTCAACATGTCCCTCTCCCTGTCTCCGAGAAGTTCCTCAGCCACACCCCGACCCTCTGTTCGGAGCTTTGATTTGAAAAGAGCCATCTCCGCCAAAACCGCGTTCGAAGCCGCCAGTTCCCCCCTCCCAGTCAATCTCCGAGGAGCGAGACAGACCCTCTACGCGCTCATCCCCTTCCGCGTTAGTTGAATCAGGGGGCGTTCACTATCTATCGGTTAGCTATTGTTTTCGAAACGGGAAGATCATCGCGAACTAATTAGCGAACATCCAATGGGCGGGTGGACGAGCGGGTGGGCCGCGGGTCTTGACGTTGATGGCAGCTGCTTGCATAGCGCTTGAGCATCCGACCGCTGGCCATCTGATCCACGATTCCAGCGACTGAGTGAATTCACCCCCCCTTCTCTCCCCTCGCCCCTTATCGTACAAGCGAGCCGCATATAAGGAGCCGAGAGAACAATGAACGAATTTCGATTTTTCAGCGCGCTCTCGAACAGCAACCAAGGTTATTGTTCGCGGTAGCATCGTCGCGTATGACGCCTCCTCCCCCGCCCCTCTCGCCTTCCCTCGGGGAACCCCCTCTTCCGTCCTCGACGTCGTCAGCCACGGTCGTCGACATCACTGGTTCCGAACAACGTCGTTCAGTCAACGCTCGCTTTGATGTTCGCTGCCGTCGTCGTCTTCGGGGTGTTGCGTCCTCGCTTCAAGGCAGCCCTTTGAGACTGAAGGCGTCGGAAATCGCCGGGCGCGGAACACCCGAAACCAGTCGCGACGGGAGTCTGATACAACACTGCGGAAGCTCCTCCAGGAGCCCCACAATGCTATCAGGATAAAGATGTGCTATCGCAGAGGCAGCTGGAAGACTTGCCGCTTCTCCCGCTTTTCTGCCTTCGGCACGTTCGTTTATCCGCCGCACGCTCACCTTTTCGTCGGCAGATCGCTAACATTGCCCCGGGATAAATGAGCAAAATATGCATCCGTTTATGTACGCGCATGGTTGCATCAACCGCCACTAGATCAACCGCTTCTGTTTGGCGTGGCTTCCGTGAGGCACCATTGCCAACTTCCTACGTTCTTCCGGGCAGCCATCCGTTCTCCTACGGTCTATTTCCCTAAAGCCCGCCATTTCCCCCGATTCACATCCTTCTCCCCGTATGGGCTCGATGCGGTACCGGTAGTTTTCTCCTTCGCCCTTGCGAGGTGTCTTAAGATCCCATCGTATCACGAGCTCCGCTCAGCCAGTAAAATTGGGAGAGCACTCGTAACCCCCGCGCTGCCATCTCCGAGATCGCGTGTCGCGGAATGTCGATATTCCCCTGACGAGCAAACCTCTGACTGACTGAGAGTCGTCGTGGCCATCGACGACAAGCGAAATCTCTCTCGAAGACGTCGGCGACGATTTCCGAGGGATATCAGACGTGATCGTGATCCGATTCTCGGCCGAGAGGTTGTACGCTTTCAGTCGCGGGGCTTTCCCGAGTGGAGTTCTCCACATTCATTCGAGCTCTCCGAGGGAAGCGTGGTTTCTATCCCGGCAATTGATTCCGTGGCGTCATGCGTTAAATAAGGGATGCGGTGGGGGGAACGAAATCGGCTCCGGGACTTGTATTACCTACACGTCTCGCGGCCGCACGGCAGTCGCACCTTTCCTCGGCATTCCTCCACTAGTGCAACCTCGATGTCGCTAAGATACAGGCAGGAACGGAAGAGGGAAACGTGGAGGAGGACGAGGGCAAGCCGGGAGCGTGTAGAGAAGAAGGGAACTCGGGAGAACGCTAGAGGGCGAGAGGGTCTCAGAGGAGCACGAGGACCTGGCAAAAGGTGAGGCCGCCAGGACAATACGGGCTGCTGGAGCACGACGTCTCGGACAGCGGAGGAACCGGACGAAAAAACGGGAACACCGAAAAGGGAATGGCGTAGTCAACGGAGCCTAGAAAAAGAGCCGCGTGTCGTGGTTCGTATGTTTGTTTGCTGGTCTGTTTGTTTGTTTCCCTGCCCTCCCTTCCTCTCTAGGCCGTATACGGCGCTCAACGGGAGAGAGAACAGGGTTGAGAACGAAAACAGGAGCACTTCCCTATATTGAAGAGACTTTTCAACAAACAGGTGGTTCAGATCTGCTCCCCTGCTATGATGCGGCACTGTCTGCGGTGGGGAAATTCTGATGGGGGTAAGGGAAGCCTTTTCGGTCAGAAAGCGAATAACGACTTCGGTTCGGCTGTTCGCCTCCCCTTGATTACCCCCCTCGGTCCTGCATCGGCCGTTGGTTCCTCCTACGCAAGCTCCAATACGGTGAACCTCCGACGGCTGGGCACGCCGTGTGGAGCTTTGAACGCGCGGCAGACGCAGGTCACGTTGGGCCTGCGGCGACCAAAAAGCCAGCACACAAGGAACACATCGCTCGGTAGTTCAATGCTTTCGTCGTCGGCGTCTCTGTCTCTCGTGCTTCAACGTGGATTGTGAGACGCGGTGCGAAAATCTATCGTTCGCTCTTTTCCTCTCCATATGGAGTACAGCAAGCACGCTGAGCGGAGCGGAATCCCATTTGCGGATGCAAGCTCTGAGCTTGAGGAATCAGACCCGTACTCGAGACGTATACTTGGAATTGAAGCTGTTCCAGTGATTTTTTCTTCCAATGACGTGATGCGGTAGGGACCGAAAGGAAACGGTAGGGGAAAAATAGGAGAACGGAAGACGAGGATCGTTCTATATCCATCCGTCCACTGACGATATCGCCGTTGACGTCGTCCTGCGACTGGAAGACTATCCGGTGAGCGAGTGAGCGGGCAGGCGGTCAGCCGCCTACCGTTTTCGCAGCCGTTTCGTTCGCTTCTTTTTCCCTCCTTTAAGGAGAGGTGGCAATTGAAACTTTTTATCGAGAGATTCTCCTGACGACTCCCGCCCTCGAGGCCCGCCGTTGGCGAATGGCGAAGCGAACACGTTTACCGCTCGGCATCGGCTCTAAATCTCTTGCAGCAGTAACACTGCGAGTGGCGATCAAGCTCGGAATCAGCCGCGAGAGAGCACGAGCTATTCCGCCAAGCGAACAGGCGGGCACGAGAGTGAGTGAAGGAGCGAACTATCTGACTGCGATCCGAGTGAAGCTGCGCATTGGAAGAAGCTCGGAGAGTCACGCTCCGCCTTTCTTAATGGAGAACGATCGTGGATTCGTGAGCCTGTACGCCAGGCCGAATTGCTTCATGAGAATCCGAACCCTCCGGGCTCACATTTGAAATGAATTCGTCGTCTCAGTAATTCAGACCGAGGAGGGCCGAATTCAGAGTAGGGCTGATGACGATGATGACCGCGGTCATCAGAAGTCGTCGAGCGAATACCTACCCCCCTTTTCGAATACCTTATCACGATTATTATCGCTCGGTGAGTCGACTATCCCGGACGCGGATCGATCCCGCAATCCGAAAAGCTGAAACAGAACAGCGTTACTCACCCTCATGGTCCTCGTAGACGAGGGCAAAAGACTTCCAGTCCCAAGTTTTGATAAGGTCGACGTATGCTTGAGCTAGGATCGAAGGCTTTGGGAAGAGATTGATGGAGAGATCATCTCGCTGAAGTTGGAAATCCCAGCGCATCTCCACGTGTGGAACGTCAAGTGCGTCACATATGGACTGAACATGCATCGAGGTGACGTCCGAGGTCGGCCCGAAGATGCCAGCGATGCCATCTCGTAGAAGCGTGCAAACCTTCTTCGTCGCCCGAAAGCAGTCGTCCTTTTCGACTCGTTCCACTTTTGGTATCAGCCGCGACTTGAGCAGAATGCCGTTGTCCTTGTTGACGCGTTCGATGGCGACACGGAACGCGAAGTCTTGCTCGTCGTCTTCGTTGTCGAACAGTCCCCCTGAAACGGAAAACAAACCGAGTCACATCTCGACTGTCATTTCTTCATTGTTTAACCGATCCGCCCGGCCTCTGCCTCACGGCTCATGGCCAAGCGGCTCGGCATGGAGCTCCTCTTGTTGCGCGAGAGTTGCTCACGAGTTGTTCTGTGTAGTTCTTGAAGAGTTTGCGCATGAATAGTTCACCAGAGTCCGTTCGGGGCTCGAGTAACAAGTTGCGTAATACATCCGTTTTGTCAACGCAGCCAAGTCATTTCCTTGCTCGTTCATCCAACGTCCCTCTCGCGTTCTCTGTCAAGGGACCAATGAATGGATGAACCGGGGAGAATTAAGTCGGTGAATTTGAGATGAGGAACTTTGTGTCCGTACTGCCTGAGCGGGAGACGTCGCTCGTCCCGAACTGTCCCGCATCGGCCATCAAGCATTCGTAATGCTAACAAAACAAATTGATTCATTATCTCGGAGATGGGCGTGAGGGCGATGCACCTCTGTTCTGGATTGATTGCCGCTCGGTCCGACACCTCGTCCATCGATATAGACTTCGGGAGACGTCAGAAAAATACGGAATTCGTTCCCGGAAGACCAGCCTCAGGCTCGGCCCGGGTCCAGCTAAGGCGGGTAGGCGGCGCGCGCACACCGGTTGAATGAATCGACTGCCAGTGTGAAACCTCCATCAATTCATCGTTTGAATTGTTCAACTTCCACTGGCGGTTCTGTTCTCGGCTTCAAGGTGCAACGAGTCGTTCAACTGAAACGCCTCCTTCCCCATTCGCCTTCCAAAACTGTTTCAATCGCTGGCTCGGAGCACAAACGACAAGCCGGGCATCGGCGAAGCAAAACTTGAATTCCCTCCTCGTTCTGCGGAACAAGAGCTCCGGAGACGGGTAAAGTTCGACGGGCCGTACGAATGAATAATCGTGGCAGTATTTCCTAACTCAGAGTTGTACCGAAACTCAGCGGAGGAAGGATCGAGCAAAAAAAGAAATCTACAGAGCTTGAAGTGCCCACACGTCTCCGACGGGAAGCCAAATGGGAGTTTTTCTCACAGGGACGATTGCTGCGGATTTAATTGCGCGTAGGAAATTCGCGTTTCTCTTCGAGCCGGCGAGATTCCAGAGCGTTTCGAGTTTTTTCCTTTGCGTTAACTCCTGCGCAAGCTCTATTTTCTCCTATTCGATTCGAAACTAAAGAAAGTCAACAGTCTCAGACCTGAGTAGGCAAAATGAGGATCCTATGGAGCAATAATCTAATGAGTGCCATCGGTGGGTCTCGGGGCCAGAAAAGCTGAACAATGAAAAGGAAAACTACGATGACAAGCTATCCATTATTTCCGAGGACGGAAGAAAATGGAGAACTTACTCCGCCCGGACGCTTTCACAATTACCATTCTATAAACTTTTCCCTCCCATCAAAATGGAGTTCCCGGAAGCGTGGCGGAAAACGTTTCTCTTGGAGACGTACTGTCTGTGTACAGCAACGGACGCTTAGCGGAGCGAATGCAAACACATCATCTGTAACGAATTTCCAGCCGGCTCGTCGTATGCATGCTTCTAGTCGATGTTCGTTTGTGAAAAACGAGGACTCTACATCTCCTGTCTTTTGCTCGCTCGCTCGCTCGCATGTTCGTTCGTTTGTTCCTTCGCTCACTAGCAGGCTTCTGTGCCTGTCCGCCGGCTCGCTCGTTCTCTCGCCGACTGGCCTCTATTGACGTCGTCCTCGGGGGAAGACGCCCGCCGTAGCTCGTTTCTTCCTCGGAGCTGAATTGTGACAAATTAGTCCCTCTGGCTGCTTCCGAAGGCAGAGAGGCAATCGGGAGGAGAAGGGAATGGGACGAGCTCTGTTCCTCAGCTCCTCCCAAATGAGTGCAATTTACTCTTAAGACACTTAGCGGCGCGCCCTGCACGAGGACAGCCACGACAGCGTGACTGTTCCTTCGCATCTTCTGCTCCCGCTCATACGCAAACCCTCGAAGCCTCATCATTGTCCGCCACCGCCGCTTCTATCTCGAGCTTTTCGCGCATATCATTCGGTTTTTGCGTCCTTGTCGGCCCTTCTGTAATTGGGAACTAGCTCCGTAATTTCGGCTTTAATCCCGCTGAATACAGGGACCCAATCCCTCGCCCGCGCGTCCCCCCCCCAGTTGTCTCGCGCGGAAAAGACGGGCGAGGGCCCCTTACCCAATGGTATCTCGAATCCTGGGTCGAGCTCGCACTCACAATGTTCGAATAGAATCTTTATTTACCCGGAACGGACCCAGCGAGCAACGGTATGAGGAAGCAACAGCGACGCGCCGCCCTGGGGATCACGGCGATTTGATCAAGCAACGAAAAGACTCAGCGATTGGATGTTCGGATGAAATCCATAATGAATTCGTTGCCGGTGCTTCCGCCGACTTCCGCCCCGAGGAATCAATCGGGCGGGGAAGTGGGCCTAACGCCAAAACTAATTCGTTATGGCGCAGTTGTCGCAGTCGACTTTGTCTTTGATGCCACCGGAGACAGTTGAATGAGTGAGGAAGCGAGCGACCGAGCGAGTCCGAAAAAGGAGTGTCTGACCGGTCAGCATCTGCTTTCGGCGGCGATGGTCGTCGTCGTCGGAGCGGCAGCCCGAGCCAAAATCCTCCGAAATCCTTGTTCTTATTTCTGGCTTCCGAAGTCGAAGAGGAGCTTCTCCGATGTCCAATCTCGTTGCTTCAGCTCGTCTTACAGCCGTCTTCGTCGTCAGCGCCTTCGGCGTTGTCGTTGTTAACGTCGGCGGCGGCGGCGAGCGTTTTCTTCTCTTAATCACGGGAGATCCCTCAGTTCAACGGAAGAGCTGATCTCTTTCCCCATCTCGTTTCGTCGGTCCCTGGTACTGCGAAACTTGTCACGAGATTATTCCGACAAGGCTCTTTTTTCGTTCTTCGTCACAGACTAAAAAAGTCCTGTATCACCGCACAAGCTCGAATCGGCGTCCGGACGGAGCGTCGCGCGTCCTCTTCTCGGAGCCGTCGTCGTGGAACATCGCCAATTCGTCGAAGCCCGCCGAACAATTAGCTTTCTTATTGTCGGGGTATTACATCGTCCACGGCTAGCACCATCCCAGTGAGCGAAGGAGAGCACGGAGCGAGAAGAAAGGAAAAAAGAAGCAGAAGTAGTACTCGGGGAGCAATAGCGGACTCGGCTCCACCATATGAATAATTACTCGCCCTGCCACCGCCGCCGCAAGTAACCGGTCTTGCTCATCTGCCCATCCTTTCTATTTCGCCATTTCTTCGTGCTTGGTTTGTTCTCCGTGCGGGTGCTCTCGGCCTTGCCAAACAGGATAACAGCATGCCACGGCTCACACAGACGTCAGAATAGTTGTTCCACTGCAGGATGCGAAACGCGCCCCTCCCTCCCTCGCTCGCTCCCGCATTCGTGCGTTCCTTCGCTACCCTCACGGCTAGCTCGCAGCACGTCGAGCAAGTGAGTACCTTCCGGCAACGCAGTAGCAGCATTTTGGGAAAAGCAGGAAGGAACACCGCTCTAGGGTGCAACCGTCGACGGAGATGGTCGAGCGACCGGGTTTCACTCGCTGAATCCCGATAATAATTTTCGCTAAAATCTCGCCCTGAAACACAGTCGGCGACGCGAATCAGATGTTGTAGGTCATTGTGTGTGTGTGAATGAGTTTCGGAACTTCGAAAAGCTCATTCGGTTGCTAAGATCCATCGAGCATGACCGGCTGGGGATCCGAGGTCGGAGGCTTCCTCCTTCGCTCCGCTCTCAGTCGGAGATTGTTAGTCAAGCTCCAACGTACGTTCATGTCAAGCTGGGCGGAATGGGGGAACGAAGAATAAGCGGCGGACCGTTCACAGATGACTCTACGGTTAGCTTTCCATCCGACGGGAATTCTTGTTTTGATGAATTTCCCCTCCGGTCCGCGAGCGAGTCAACAACGACGATCGGAATCCGAGAATACTTCGCTATCTCTTCTCTATTGTCTATAAAGAGCGAATTCCAGCCCATGTCATGGCGTAGCGTCTTCTCGGAGAAGCGAAATCCTAGGAATGAAATTACGTTGTTGGGCAATGTCATACAGCGTCTGCGTCAACAATAGACAGCGAGGAACAAACTCATCTTCCGATCAAATGAAGCTCTACTATGCGACAAGAGCAGCTATCGACGTGAGAAAGTGCGGATGGGAAGCTTCTGGCATCTGCACAGGCATTCAACGCCAGCTCGTCGGTCGTGCCTTGCGAGGCTGAAGCTCTCGGTCAAAAATGCGCTCTTCCTGAAAACACTCTCACTCGAGTGCACTCGAGGAAGCGGCGAAAACGAGAGAACGAGAGACAAGGACAGACGATAAGCGATCATCGTGCCGCATACTTTAGTGTTCTTCACACCCACCTACCCGCTCGTGCACCTCCCTTCTTCCAGCGAGTAGTTTTTTTCTCTCACACCGGAGCAACAACGTCGTGCGAAACCCAGAGCCAGGATGAACGTCAAGTTCTGAAGGGACGGACGAAGTACAGACAAAAGAACACAACGAAACGTAATGAAACAATGAAGCAATAAAAGCAGCTGGGCACAGGCTGAGAGAAGCTCCGCTTAATGTTCTTGCCCTTTACGCTGAAGGAAAAAAATTGCAGACAAGCCGAAAAAGAGCTGTAAACTCTCCTTCCTTCCCGTTCTCGCCCGTAGCCGCGCTCAGTCGATATCTCGATGACGTGAACTGGTTGCCGAGTAAACTTCGTGCGATAGTCGTGTGTACACGTGAAAAAAAAGGAGAGAAAAAGTCAACCGCCGAGACCATAGATTTGGCTCTTTTCCGACGGCTGTCGATGCGATAAACGCTGCGAGCGAACAATCTCTCCGTCAACCGGCTCCCGCGATGCCTACCCGCTAGTTCCCCCTCCGGGAAAGCTCGACACGGCTTCGGAGCTAACCTCTTCCTGCGACCCCTCTTGTTCTCTTGCATCGTCATGTACCTTCTTCCTCCGTTTCCTCGAGGCCTGGACGCGTCGGGACAAGCCAGCCAA